TGGTCCGATCCAATGTATTTAATAGGAAATTTTGCCAAATGTGCCACATTTTGAGAAAATCTTAGCAAATGTACTACATTTGAAATGGATTTAGCATCCATACCACATTTGGTGTTTGTGTGGCAATTCTTGGACGATTTTGCCCTTCTCTGTGTGTCAGGTATGTGTCAGGGGAAGGAGCTACAGTAGACGCCGGTTGGGAAACGGGGACAACTTTGTGTCAGAGAATGACAACTTTGTCTGAAAGACAACTTTGTGTCAGAGAAGAAGGACAAAACATTGCATTAAATGCAGTTTACATTTATCATGGACAATAATTATGAAATAGAGTGAATGATGTCCCCCAAGAATAAGTCCAGATCTCTTGATTGTCCATCGCCAGATGATGTGGTTTTACCAGCCAGAGATCTGAATTTACTCGGGGACAACTTCTCTTGATTGTCCATCGCCAGATGATGTGGTTTTACCAGCCAGAGATCTGAATTTACTCGGAGACAACTTGATCTTTATTTTATTCCGCCAGAGAGCCGAAGACGAAGATCTGGATTTACTCGGGGACAACTTTGTTTTACCAGCCAGAGGGAAAAAAAAAGGTTCAATAATCCGGGTAAGTGAGGACAATATTGTTCGACTAATCTGTGGACCAAAATAGATGCCGAGAAATCTAAATAAAATTCAAAACTCTTAAACGAGAATAATTGGTAGACAAAATGTGGAATTCATGATAATAAAACAAAATGATGAATCGGGGACAAGATCTAAACGCAACAGAGAATTCCTAATCGGGGACAACATCTGGACAACAATAGAGAATGTTTATATGAAAAAAAGTTTTGTCGTAAATGAGAGAAAAAACTAGACAAAGACAGAGATAAAGTGAAAATGAAAGAAATAAATAAAGAAAATAAAAATGTAACAACAAATAAAGAAAGAGAAAATTGTAGTTACCAATGTAAAGAAATAAAAAAAAGGCAGAAAAGTCAGAGGGGCACATCAACTACAGGTTTTGGTCTCTCATGTTGGAGGGTAAAATGGTCTTTACCAACGACAATTGTGGTACAAGAGAAAAATGAGTATATGAAGTGGTAGAACCAAAAATGTTTCGGTGAAATGTGGTATAGCAACTAATTTTCTCTATTTAATATTTACATTAATATAAGAATTTTAAACAATGTGAAGTTCGACTCCACTAAGTCACGTTATCCCGCGTAATAAAAATTGGTTATAAATCGGACCTTATCGATCCAAAGATGTCAAAAAAGAAAACAATGTGAAATTTCGCAATTGTCGTCCAATTGGAGTATTATTGAATTTTAAAAATTGAACTATACAGACTATTTTTAAAATGTAAAAGAGATGAAATTAAATACGTAATTAATTATACATATTTATTAAGTAAAACTTATTTAGAGTATTACGGTTAAAAACTATTCGTTGTAATCTCGTATATTGAAAAAACTTTTAATTATCCGCATTATGAATATATAACCATTTATGATAATTTTAATAGTACACCTAGATTTTTTTGTTGTGAAATTGTTTATGACATTTTACATCATGCAATTAAATTAGTGGGTGATCTGATTTCTTTTTCGGAAAAATAAAATAATTTGTGTGTGCATTTTAAATACGATTATGCCCTTTGAAATTCTTTATCTAAACTCTAAAGTAAACAATCAATTATTTATATTACACCCACCACCAACATAAATTCGTCTATGGTCGTTTTTTTTGTTTTGAATAACTAAAAGGTTTTAGACTAATGCCCATACATTCACTTATATCAGGGACTAAAGTATTTTATATGGGTCATCATTTTTCTAAGAGTTGAAAAATTAAATTTGCTTATCGTGAATAATAAATATCTACTTTTTATTTTTGAAAAAGAATAATAATAAATATATTATTTATCGAAAAAAATATATTTATGTGAAGTTTTAAATCCGATTCACCTCAAATGTATAACTCAAGTATCTTCCAACTATCCTGGATCAATTTGACCGATCAAATAGTATATATTTTGGTTGTGAAGAATTTTTATACTATTGATCCATTAATTTTGTTTTGATGTCAGGATACAACCATTGATGATACACATTTAAAACTACAATTCGAATCTGGGAACAAAGTCACAACCAGTGATGATAGATCAGGAGTTAGTTTCTTTCATAAATACTGTAGTGTGTAAGAAAAAATATCAAAAGAGAATCAGGTAAAAAAACACAAAATTAAATAGCCAATAAAAATTTTGGCTTTAAAAAATGGCAAAAGTTTCTGTTAAGAATCTGGTTCTATTCTCTTCTCTTCTTCAACCTCAAGTCTCTCATGAATCTGGTTCGGATTGTTTTTTTTCTTTGTTTCTATATAAATTAGATGCATGGTTCTAATTAATTTGGATAGTATCTTTTTTTTTTCTTTCTCTTTTTGGATAATGGGTTATGGGTTGAGTCCTATTCTAATCCATGTTAAAAAATCGCAAGGCGCTAGTCGGGCCAATCGCCTAGCGAAAAATCGGAGATTAGTTTTAGGGTTTTTGTGTGAACACAATATATAAAAGAAAGTTTTGCATAAGTTGCTAAGTTATAATCATGGTCTAGTGGTTTTTGCAAGGTTTTTTACTTCTTGTCGCAGGTTCAATTCCTAACCTACACACATTTATTCATTTTTCTTTAATGAAAGGTAAAACAGTAATTTCCAGTGTTATCTTTTTCAAAGAGATTCAACTCTAAAAATCCTAATTTACGGCGGCCATGGATACGTTTTTACTAAATCAATCATTTTAATGTGGTTTTGTTGTCTTTTATACTAAAAGCTTATAGATCTAACACATGTTAACTTAATCCAAACTTAAAAAAGAGAAAAAACTGAATTTTTCTTAACTTATCTTTTATACAATAATCCCGGCGGTAAGGTGCCGCCGTGGAATCGGCCGTTTTAGCCGAGTTTTTGAACAAGGATTCTAATGTTAATAGCATTTATTGCGTCAATGCTTGACGTCGGTATTAATTAAAAGCCCAAAAAGCTAAGTGTATAGTGTTTATATGAATTTTAATGTATTAACGGTTAATACCGCTAACCAAATAACCGACCGAACCGAACCGAAAAAAACTGAACCATATTCGAACCGAAGTTTTTAAAATAACCGAATGGTTTGTAAAATCTTCTATCCAAACTAACCGAAACCGAACCGAACCGAACCGATAACCAAACGGTTAACCGAAATATCCAAAAACCTATAAGATACCCAAAAATAATATCCAAAACTATAATTATAACCTCAAAAAATTAATTATTTTTATAATCAAAACAATCAAATACTTTAAATAATCAAAATATTCAAATATTGTTTGTTATATTTATCAAAGTTAAATACTCTTTTACAAAATTGAATCAAATTTTAATTTTTTTCTAATATTTTAATTTTTTTGCATTTTCTTTTTGTATTTTTTTGGTTAATTTTGGTTAGTTTCGGTTATATTCGGTAAATTTCGGTTAATTTGGGTAAAAACCCGAACCAAACCGAACGTGATAAAAGTTTGATTAGTTACGGTTACCTATTTAAATATCCAAACCGAACCGAACCGAAAGGTAACCGAACCGAACCGAACCGAAATTCTTAAAATATCCGAATGGTTATTATATTACCATATCCAAACTAACCGAAACCGAACGTAACCGAACCGAAACCGAATGGTCAACCGAATGCCCATGCCTATATTAACCCATGTTAACAGCTAGATATATACTTCAGTCTTATTTGTCTTGTTTATTCTGACTGCCGGATTTATTTATTTATTACTCTTTTTGTTTCACAAAGAGTGTCATTCTAACATTTTTCAAACAAATTAAGAAAAGTAAACAAATTTTATTTCTTCACATTATTAATACACTAAATAATACTCTCTCTCTCTAACTAATAAGCTGAAATAGTAAGAATAAAAAAGAGAATTAGTCTTTAAAACCGCATTGAAAACACAAAACGACACTCTTTGAAACGAGATTAAAACTTTAAAACGACACTCTTTGTAAAACAGAAGAAGTATATGTTTCTCTTTATATAATCATTAATTTTTGAGAAATTGTAAAAAATGCCCCTTTTTCAATACTCCTTTTCAAAAATGCCCTCTTTGAAAGTCCATTTTTAAGTTTGCCCTCTTTTAATTTTTAATGACCATTTTATCCTTATTTGAAACAAAATTAGGTCCACAAAATACAAAATATTTTTTTGCGGGAAAAGTGATCCCGCAATTTTCCCGCCAAAACACTTGTAAAAACCTTTAAAATACCTTGTAAAATTATACCGCCAAAATTTTTTTGCGGGAAAAGTGATTCCGCAATTTTTTTGGCGGGAAAAATTTACAAGGTATTTTAAAAGTTTTACGGAGTATTTACAAGTGTTTTGTAAAGTTTGACAATGTATTTTAGAAGGTTTTTACAAGGTACAAATAACTTGTAAAACCTTATAAAAAACTTGTAAAACCTTGTAACTTGTAAAACCTTATAAAATAGCTTGTAAAATCTTATAATATCTTATAAATACGTTGTAAAACCTTTAAAATACATTGTAAAACCTTATAAATACCCTGTAAAAAACCTTTAAAATACCTTGTAAATTTTTCCCGCCAATAATTTAACGCCAAAAAAATTACGGAATCACTTTTGCAGGAAAATTTTTTGGCTGGAAAAAATTATACGGGAAAATTTTACAAGGTATTTTAAAAGTTTTACAAGTTTTTACAAGTGTTTTGGCGGGAAAAATTGCGGGATCACTTTTCCCGCCAAAAAATATTTTGTATTTTGTGGACCTAATTTTGTTATATTTCCTTATATATTTGTGATATCTTTTATTAAAAGAAGGGTAATTTAGTCATTTTGTACATAAAAAGGAGTATTTTTAAAAATAGACAGCCAAATGGTGCATTTTTGAAAAAGAGTATTGAAAAAGGGGCATTTTTGTGAGTCTCCCTTAATTTTTTTTGTCGACTTAGATTTTCTTTTTTTGATAATCATTAGTGTTTTTGTCAACTATAAATTTTTGTTTTTCAATAGTTTCTTTTCCCACAAATCTCGTTTACAAATTCTATTTTCTTCCACTAAAGTATATAGACGGAAGCTCTAACAAGTAAACAAATCAAAAGTTTCGGAAGAAAAAAAGTTTTTTTGTGTCAACTACCAGTGAAGATTAGTCTTACGTGTTAAGAAACCGGATAAATAAACGTATATTTAATAGTATACACTTAATTAAGGCAATCGGCTAAAATATTAAATAACGCGTTCATTTTTAAAATGGAGTATAATAGTTTCAATTTTCCTATATAAACCATACCGAGACCGTAGAGTCTTACACAACAATCCTTCTACTTCTTACATTTCTACCAACAAAAAGAAAAACATAATCATTTAGCATTGAAAATTTTGAGAAATGGCACCAGCTCCTAGTCCAATCAATTCTCAACACGTGGCGGTGATCGGGGCCGGAGCAGCCGGTTTAGTAGCGGCCAGAGAGCTCCGTCGTGAAGGTCACACCGTTGTGGTCCTTGACCGAGAGAAACAAGTAGGTGGTCTTTGGGTTTACACACCTGAAACCGAGTCCGACGAGCTTGGTCTTGACCCGACCCGACCCATAGTCCACTCGAGCGTCTACGAGTCTCTCCGAACCAATCTCCCCAGAGAATGTATGGGTTACAAGGATTTTCCGTTCGTGCCACGTAGCGATGATCCGTCAAGAGATTCTAGAAGGTATCCGAGTCACAGGGAAGTTCTTGCGTACCTTCAAGACTTTGCTACAGAGTTTAACATAGAGGAGATGATCCGGTTCGAGACTGAGGTGGTTCGGGTTGAACCGGTTAACGGTAAATGGAGAGTCCAGTCTAAAACCGCCGGCGGGTTTTCCGAAGATGAGATCTATGACGCCGTTGTGGTATGCTGTGGACATTTTGCAGAACCAAACATCGCTCAAATTCCTGGTAAGAATCAAAACTTTATATACTTAATAATTTAAGAAAAAAATTAGTACAATTTTATATTTTAAAGATAAATCTGTTAAATTTTCACAATAATCGTAATAATTTAATTTTGTGAATATTTTGTATAGGAATTGAGTCATGGCCGGGGAAGCAAACTCACAGCCACAGTTATCGAGTTCCTGATCCATTCAAAGATGAGGTATTTTCAAAATATATGACACCTTTGTATTAACTTTTTCTTTTTACTACAAATTGACTTTATTATTTACAGCTACAATCTTTCAATATATTAACCTAACGTACGGACCAAGTCTCAATTTTTCTAGAAAACAAAACGATGATACAACACGTAACTTTACTCGCTTTGTTTTTTGTCAACACGCAAAATCTTTATTTTAGACTTTTAAGTTAATAAAGTATATAAAAATATATTTAAAAGTTGGGATACGTGTTGAGAGAAGAAACCAATACATATATGAAAATAAAAATGAAAGAGGAGTTATTGATGGTGACGAAATTCTTGTTAGTTGTTACGTACGCTTTCTAGTTTATGTTCTTTTTACTTTATTCGATTCTAAATGCCTTTTCAGTGAATAAATCCATTTGATTGTGGACCGCAGATAATCGCCGAATTTGTTTTAAATGATTTAATATATGTCGGTATAGTCAGATCTTCTGGAGAGTTGTAGCATCCACGAACAAAGAATATAATCGCAGATTCGCAAAACACATTTTATTAAATAATAATTAATAATCACATATAGTACTCTTTAAAATGTATAAAAGTCACTTTTGGTTTCACCCATGTGGGATGGATTAAATGAAATAGATTGATTTGCTTTGATACATCTTTAACTGTAATAAAATAAACCAAACGTTGACTAAATCATACATAAATTTGCAGGTAGTGGTGGTGATCGGGAATTTTGCGAGTGGAGCCGATATCAGTAGAGACATATCTAAAGTCGCAAAAGAAGTTCATATCGCATCTAGAGCAAGTAAATCCGACACATTTGAAAAGCGTCCCGTACCTAATAACAATCTCTGGATGCACTCTGAGGTAATTAGGACTTTTTCGTATAAATTGGTTTAAAACTTGATAATTTGTTTTTGTTGAGTTATAACAAGTTCAATTATAATATGTTAGAAGTGATGAACGAAGAAGAATCGTGAATTTTTGTTAATCTTCTTAATCCAATCTTGTTACATGAGAGGCTCTTATATAGCCGATACAATTGATTTACAATGACTAAACCAATATTAACCAATACTAAACTGGTACACATCTTGATTACTCTAATATAATAGTTCATGAGAATCCAATTAAAAACCAATTACAATAAAATTGTTGCTTCTATTAATCATTTTGTATTTTTGTTCTTTTGATATTATGCAGATAGACACCGCCCACGAGGATGGTACCATTGTTTTCAAAAATGGGAAGGTGGTACATGCCGATACCATTGTCCATTGTACCGGGTATTTAACTTTCCCTATTTTCAGTTTTCTTTTATTACACAATGGAACTACTTAGCATCATGAATTGTGTGATTTACCATATATATTTTTTTTGGTTATGTGAAGGTACAAGTATTACTTTCCATTTCTTGAAACCAATAATTATATGAGGGTTGATGACAACCGTGTTGAACCTCTCTACAAGCATATTTTTCCACCGGCGCTTGCTCCCGGACTTTCTTTCATCGGTTTACCAGCAATGGTTAGTTAGTTTTAATCGATTAGATCTTTTCAAAGTTTTGAGTGATTCAACTCTTCTTGATTTTCTAGAAAACTCATAAATTAATTTCTTGGTTTGATCGTTGAATTCTTATAACCAGGGTCTACAATTCTATATGTTTGAAGTCCAAAGCAAATGGGTTTCTGCAGTTTTGTCTGGACGAGTTACACTTCCTTCGGTAGATGAAATGATGGATGATCTTAAGTTGTCGTATGAAACACAAGAAGCATTAGGTATTCCCAAAAGATATACACATAAGTTGGGTAAATCTCAGGTACGACATTGTTTAATGACAAATATGATAGTTAAGGGTAATATAACAACTTGAAAAGAACATAGTTTCAATAAAATTTTGTTTTTTTTTGTAGTGTGAGTACCTCGATTGGATCGCAGACCAATGTGGATTCCCACATGTTGAACATTGGAGAGATCAAGAAGTAACTCGCGGTTACCAGAGACTTTCTAATCAACCAGAAACTTTTCGTGATGAATGGGATGACGATGATCTCATGGAAGAAGCGTATGAAGATTTCGCTAGACAAAATCTGATCAGCTTTCATCCTTCTCGTTTTCTCGAATCCGGAAGATGAAATATGACTATGCTTGTAAAGGTGTCTACTTGTTTGGATTCAAAGGTCATTGAATTATGAAAATAATGTGGAAGTAAATAGACTATAAGAGTGTGTGGGTCTTCTTGACAAGGGTTACATGTTGTTTGATCTCTGGAATTAGCTTCATGGTGCCTAAAAACTTTTGCTTGCAGGACCAATTTGTTAAAAATAAAAGTATGTAGTTAATTTCGGGAAGTTTTTATGAATGCCTTGTTCATTGTGCAATTGTTTGTGGTTTTTGTTCTACAAAGAGTGTCCTTAAATGAATGTATAGTCCCCTCCTTTTGGTTTTTGGATTCTTTCATTGGAAGCAAATGAGTCATCCAATTGACTTTTTCTTACAAGAAGAATTTGACCATTCCTTACATGGTTCTGCATTATTAATTAAGTAGAGTACAGATAGATAAAAAATTGGACAATTAATTGACTACTGGAGTTTCCAACGACGAATTATCTAAATTTGATTTCACCACGACTGATAAAGATAACGTATACAAATATATAATTGGATAACGTATAGTGGTAACATACTGATAAGACTGTAACGTATGTTGGTAACATGTTACTGTTTTAAGACTGTAACTAGATTAAAGGCCACGACTGTTTGAAATGAAAATTTTGCATTTAACGTTTTTAAGTAAAATTATAAAAACTTCTGTTTTTGAAAGATAAAACAATTCCTGTTTTCTTTCAATTTTAAAATTTTAAAACAATCCCACAAATTTTAAAATTAAATACAAAAACTAAGTTGAGGTTTAACTACTTTTAAATCGCTATAAGAATCCACCTAAAACTCACATTTTACTGGTTTTATTTATTTATTTCTGTTTTAAAAAATAAGTTAAAATGTTAGAGGTTTTTTTTGTTTGTTTTTTGACCGATTTTATTGTTGTTAAAGTTTTCAACAGAAAATTTATTTAAATGTTATATAACTATGTAAACAATAAACAAAGCACACATGATCAATCAGATATTGAATAATTAAATATAATTTCTGAATTACATTTTACAAAATTGTACGTCTTCGGTTTCCAAATATAAGAGATATATTAGCTAAAAACACGTAAATTAAAAGAATTTACTTTAAAAAGTTCAACTAATCATGAAATAGATTGAATAATAGAAATAATTATAAAATAGTAATTAATCTATAATTTATATAAATAATTGAAAATATTTTATATTGTAAAATAAATTGTTTTATCTAAAACATCTTATATTATAAAATGGATAGAATATGTCTTTACTTACCTTTTTTATGACATACTCTCGTTGAAACAAAATATTGATGAATTTTGTTTTCTCAGTTGTTGCCAAATCTAGCTGCAAGGTTCTCTCGAAATTCACGAAGCAAACATATTTTGATTGATCCCAATTGGCGAATGTGAAGATAGGAGTACTTCGAGACTTGAAACACCGGAAAAAAAGTGCAAAATCATGTACGTAACTTCAGTATATTGTCTCTTTTGTTTTTGTGTGCCCAAGATTTTGTCGTATACTTCCTCCGTTTCATTTTAGTTGTCGTTTAAGATTTTATCACACAAATTAAGAAAAACATTAAATTTTTTGTTTTACCCTCTATTAATATATTTTATAAAAAAATTCATTGGCCGAAACATTAAAACAGGTAGGGATAAAACTGGAATTTTAACCAAACATTTGCATCGAAAACTTAAAACGACAACTATTATGAAACAAAATTTTAACTCTAAAACGAAAATTAAAACGAAACGGAATGAGTAATATATACTATCAAATACTATATTATCCTTTAACCATGATAAAATTTGAGACGTCAGAGTTTAGTGATCAAAGTGAAGTTGCTAACTTCAATGAAGATTCTCTTTTTATCTGTTCATAATTGGCGACTGCGTCTCATATCATTTATCACTCTTGTCATGTGAGACTGTCACACTCATTTTTCACTTTTGCTGCGTCATAAATCTTTTAATTATTAAGGTACAAAATAATTTGAAATCCTTTCATATTCAAAGTTACCAGATAGTAAAGTGTAGTTCGCAAAATACTTTTTTCAAAAAACTGTCTATATATCAAATTACGTCCTCAAATTACACATATAGTTTAATCACGGTTTGGGTGACTACTGATCCCAATGAGAATCTTCAGATAGAAGCTCAAACTTGTTCTGTTTTACTTTTATTTCAAAACCAAGAATGATTTGAATTGAACTTTTTAAACCACTAAAAACTGAAACTCTATAAACACTTCAGAATTTAGAGGTTACACAGTTTTGGTGAAAATGACACGAGACAAGTACGTTGTGTTTCTCCTTATATAATTAACACATCGACGTCATTCCCACAAAGTCTATATGACCAAAAGATTTGAAAACACTTTATAATCACATATTAACATGACAATTACATATCCTAATTAATTATGGTACCAGCAGTGAATCCTCCAACCACATCATGCCACGTAGCAGTAATCGGTGCCGGAGCAGCAGGACTCGTGGCAGCTCGAGAGCTCCGCCGCAGTGGCCACTCTGTGGTTGTCTTCGAACGTGGGAACCAAATCGGAGGCGTGTGGGCTTACACGCCTAACGTGGAACCCGACCCACTTAGCATCGACCCGACCCGACCCGTAATCCATTCGAGCCTCTACAGTTCTCTCCGAACCATCATCCCGCGAGAATGCATGGGTTTCACCGATTTTCCGTTTTCAACCCGACCCGAGAACAGGTCTAGAGATCCGAGAAGACATCCGGGTCATAGTGAGGTTCTTGCTTACCTGAAAGACTTTGCGAGGGAGTTCAAGATCGACGAGATGATTCGGTTCGACACGGAGGTTGTGAGGGCTGAGCCGGCGGCGAAGAATCCCAAAAAGTGGAGAGTCGAATCTAGAAACTCCGGTGATGTCTCCGACGAGATTTATGACGCCGTCGTCGTTTGTAACGGTCACTATACGGAGCCTCGTCATGCTCTAATCCCTGGTAATAATTAGCCACTCATTTTCCATAGTTTTCCTTTAAATTTGCTTAATAAACCAGAAAATATTAAATTGTAAACCAGATTAATTTTATTGCTATGTATAAAACTAAAAATAAATAACTGAGTATTTTTCTCCTAATTAATCAGCTGATTTCTTATTTTTAAAAAATCAAACTTTTTTTTCCGTGTAATAATCTCTTAAAAAAACAGAGTCTCTTGAAAAACAGAGTATGTGATTTTTTTGTTCTGTAATAATAACAAGAGAATTTTTATCCTAATTAACCAACTTACTCGTCAAAATAAATCGAAAGGTTTATAAATATGAATTATAATTTAAATATTTCTGTTTTCTCTGTTCAAGACAACACCTACGAATATTTCTTTATATGACATACTCTGTTTCGTTGTAAACTTGTAATGCAAAACTCAAAAAAGTCATTTTAAAACAAAAGCATGTTAAAAGATGGCAAATGTTTTTCCAGGCATAGATTCATGGCCAGGAAAACAAATTCACAGCCACAATTATCGAGTTCCAGATCAATTTAGAGATCAGGTAAAAACAAAAACAAATCAGATCTCATAATCATTATATGAATCTTTATGATCGTCATTGTGTTTCTATAATGAAGTTTGAATCTTTTAGGTGGTGGTGGTGATCGGAAGCTCAGTGAGCGGAGTCGATATAAGTAGGGATATAGCAAATGTTACAAAAGAAGTCCATGTATCTTCAAGATCAACTACACCGGAAACATACGAAAAACTTCCCGGTTACGACAACTTATGGCTTCACTCTACAGTAAGAATCAAATTCATCATCAACCTTATTTATTTGATCAAATCAAATCCAGAAGATTACTTCTTATCTACATGCATTGCAGATTGAAACTGTCCGAGAAGATGGTTCGGTGGTATTTGGAATCGAAAGACGGTTTACGCCGATACCATTATGCATTGCACCGGGTGATAGTTCAACTCATAATATATAATGAATGTGTATTTGAAACATTTTAATGAGACTTTTTATATGATTAGGTACAAATATTACTTCCCATTTCTCGACACCAAAGGCGAAGTAATCGTTGAGGATAACCGTGTTGGACCATTATATAAGCATGTTAATGATTTTACAAGTGGAAGACTCTTTATGTCAATAGACTTATTAGTTAATGTTTTGGATGTTTATAGGTCACTCCTTTTCCAATGTTTGAACTCCAAAGCAAGTGGGTAGCCGTGGTTTTGGCGGGTAGGGTTAAACTCCCCTCACAAGAAGAGATGATGGAAGATACAAAGATGTTTTATGCAAAGCTCGAAGCCTCATGTATTCCCAAAAGATACACACATCTTATGGCAGAATTAGATTCTCAGGTTCGTACCATATTTCTTTCCGTAACATGTATGATAAACGTTATCTAAAAGAAAACTTACATTAATTTGAATGATTTTTGTTTTGGTTCCAGTTTGTATACGATAATTGGCTTGCTGATCAATGTGACTATCCTCGAATCGAAAAATGGAGAGAGCAAATGTTCTACAACGTGTTCAAGAGAATACAAGCCCAATCCAATAAATATAAGGACGATTGGGATGATGATCACCTCATCGCTGAAGCATATGAAGATTTCGTCAAATTCACATCTAACTATCCAAGTTCTTTAATCGAATCTTGAATAAAGAAAGAGAATAAACAAGAGCCATAGCTTGTTGCTGCAGTCAAAAGATCTTGCTTTGTCCAATTTGTTTTCACAATAAAATTATATAACTTCCTTAATATGCAGTAGAAAAAATTAAAAGAACAACATATTAGTTACCTAAATGGCTAACTCAATTATTACCATACAAGTTTAGCTAAACAAAATTAGTTATTAACTCTGTTCCACTACACTATCGAATCTAAAACCAGATAAGAGTATATCAACTCACAATCACAAAATACTTTTGCATTATGAGGAGAAATAAAGATATATATAACAACGAAAAAGATTGGGACTTACATATAACAAACATCATTTGAAGTTTGAAATGTTCATGATAAGAGCGAGCTTCTCTGTCTTTGAAGACTATTCTTGTCTCAACAAGAGAACAAGTGATTGCATCAACTCTTGTCCGTAACCCAGCAAGAAAATAACAAACAGAATTAGTCATATTTTATATTGACCAGACATTACAACAACTTGTCATTAGAATAAAAAGCAAAAACGTTAATTCACCGCACAGCTTTTTCTCTGGTGGATGATGCAAGTGTTTTAAGAAAGCATATCGAGGAAGCTTTTATCCAATCTCCCATCATGTAACATGTTAGTGACCAAGCCAATGGTTGAAGCATCTCCACCAAAATTGCAACTCCTCATTTCTCTGATGAGTTCAGCTGATGCTGCTTTGTCACCATCTCTAAGATGCTCCCTTATTAGGGTGTTATAAGTACCACTATTAGGAAGAGGCCCATCTTCTTTCATTTTTTTGAACAAAGCATATGCTTCCTGCTTTAAACCTTTCCTACAGAATCCTGAGATCATTGAAGTGTAGGTTACAACATTAGGCGTCACTCCTTTAAGGCTGAGGCTACAAAATAGATCCCACCCATCTTCCACCTTCCCAGCCTTGCACATCCCTTCAATCATAATATTATATGTGAATATATCAAGTTCCATTTCACTCTTCTGCAAACACTCAAATACCACCAATGCTTTCTCTAGCCTCCCGTTATTACAAAGTCCATCTAACAAAATGTTATAAGTCCAAAGATCAGGAAAGACACCAAAAGAATCCATTTGACTAAAAGTTTCTTGAGCCATATCACAATCTCCAGCTTGAAAAAACCCTTGGATTAGTGTGTTGTAAGTGACGGTGTCGCCAATCAATCCTCTTTGAGACATCTCGCGGAAAAGTTCCATTCCATCATCTACTCTCTTAGTCTTACAAAATCCATTTATGAGAGTATTATATGTCACTACATCTGGGAAACAACGTTTGCTAACCATCAAATCAAACATATCCTTGGCCTCATCTAGGCGATTGTGCATGCAAAACCCATTGATCAGTGAATTGAAAGTGAAAGTATTAGGATCTATAGACCTTTGGATCATCTCATCTAACAATTTCTCAGCCTCTAAAAGCTTCCCCTCCTTCACAAACGCATCGATCAATGTGCTGAAGGTGACTACATCGGGGTTGATTTTCTTCTCAATCATATCACTTAGGAGTCTAGAGGCATCACTCCATCTTCCGTAATTACAAAGGCAACTAATGAGGGAGTTGTAGGTAACAACATTTGGTTTAATTCCTTTGTTCTCCATTTCGTTGAATAGGTGGAGCGCACTATCCATATGTTTGTATTTGCAAAGACCATCAATGATTGTGCTGTAGATCACAACATCAGCCTCTATTTTTATTTCTTCCATCTTCTTGAGAATACTTAAAGCCAAATCAGTATCACCTATCTTACATACTCCATATACTATGCTACCATAAGTAACCAGATCTGGTTGACAGCCTCTTTGAACCATTTGATCAACTAAAGCCACAGCTTCTGAAGCTTTGTTGTGGAGAAAAAGCCCATGGATTAGAGTTGTAAATGTCACCGAATTAGGTTTATATCCCATTTCAACCATTTGATCAACCAAAGCTACAGCCTCGGATATCCTCTTACCGTGACAGTAGCCATTGAGCAGCGAAGAAAGCGTAACAATGCTGGGCTCATAGCCTAGTTTCATCATCTTTCCAAGAACAGCTAAAGCAAGAGAGAGTTGAGAGCGGCGGCAAAAACAGTTGATCAAAATATTGTAAGTATAGAGATTATGTGAAATCCCCAACTTCTGCATCTGCTCGCCGAGAGAGATGACAACATCAAACTTCTTCATTTTAGCAATGGTACTCAACAATTTACTGAACTCAATGATTGAAGGGCGTGGACGAGACTGTACCATAACACTGAACAAACCAACTGCATCATCTAACTTTATATCCTGTAGCCCATTTCTCAATATCTCTCTGTAATCATCACAGCCACTAGCGAAACCTCTTCCCCAACAAAGATTAATGAAAGAAGGAGCAATTCGAGGATTACCTTTCCCCTGGAGATTAAGATGAAGAAATCTCATCGTCTTCGATGTAAATACACTCGACATCGATCTCCTCATCTTCTCCATTTCTCAATCTCACTCTCTGCAAATCGCAAAACCCTTACACGGAGAGATAAGCAAATCAATGGGGTTCTGGTTTAGAACTTATAACCAAACCGGTTTACTAACGAAAGAATTTTGAAGTGGTTAGCTATTTGATAAAATCCATAAAAACGCAGCGTTTAAATAATTTCTCTGGAATTTATTATTATTATTTTTTTTCAATTGTGTGGTTCATGAGTTTTTGGGCCAGATATTTATTCAAAGGGCCGTTAGTATATTCTCACCATCGTTAACGAATCTCATAAAAGACCCAATGGCACCTTCCTTATCACCAATCAGATCACACCACGTGGCAGTTATCGGCGCCGGAGCTGCCGGATTAGTCGCGGCGCGAGAGCTTCGACGGGAAGGTCACTCGGTCGTCGTCTTCGAGAGGCAAAAACAAGTCGGAGGAACTTGGATCTACACCGATCATATCGAACCCGATCCTTTAAGCGTTGATCCGACCCGATCCGTTGTTCATTCGAGCGTCTATGGCTCTCTCCGAACTAATCTCCCTCGTGAGTGTATGGGATACAGAGATTTCCCGTTCACGATCCGTTCTGGTGTATCGGAATCTAGAGATCCGAGGAGGTTTCCAAGTCATAGTGAAGTTTTGGCGTATTTGCAAGATTTCGCTAAGGAGTTTGCGATTGAGGAGATGATTCGGTTTGAGACTGCGGTTGTGAAGGTTGCTCCGGCGGTGGACAGTGACGGTGGTGAAGGAATTGGGAAATGGAGAATTGAATCTATGGAGAAAGAGAAGAAAGTTCGTTGTGATGAGATTTATGATGCTGTTGTTGTTTGTAATGGACATTATATTGAACCTCGTCTCGCTGAAATTCCTGGTAATCTCCATTGATTCATCGAAGCTTCCATAGGAACAGTGAGAAGTGTGATTGTGATTTTGTTCTTGGAAACTTTTAGGTATAAGTTCTTGGCCAGGGAAGGAGATGCATAGTCATAATTATCGTACACCCGAACCGTTTAGAGATCAGGTACTCATTCTTAAAGATGATAGTGTTCGATTCTTTAGTGTGATGTTATTTGAAAGATCATGTTGTGTATAATTGATGTGAAGTTTTGTGTTGCATTGGTTATTAGGTTGTTGTGCTTATAGGGAACTCTGCTAGTGCTGATGATATAAGTAGGGATATTGCTAGAGTTGCCAAAGAGGTTCATGTGGCTTGTAGGTCAAATGAAGCTGATACGTTTATCAAGCGGCCCGGTTACAGTCATCTATGGATGCATTCAATGGTGGGTTAGCTAGCTCATCATTAGTACTTAGCCTTGATCAGGAGGAGAACCATTTTTATGTTTTCTTGTGTCACGCAGATTGAGAGTGTCCATGAGGATGGTTCAGTGGTTTTTCAGAACGGGAAAACGATTTCGGTTGATGTTATTATGCATTGCACTGGGTATTCATTCTCTCTTTCGTTTTTGGTTTTGTTTTTAAAAAGTGTGCTTGTTTAACAAAACTCTTTACTTTCTATAGGTATAAGTATCACTTCCCGTTTCTTGAAACCAATGGAAATGTTACTGTAGATGATAACCGTGTCGGGCCATTGTACAAAGACGTCTTCCCTCCAGCCTTTGCACCATGGCTCTCCTTCATCGGGATACCATGGAAGGTACACAGCTCTAAATTGCTCTGAAGCAATGTCATATTTTTTTTAACTTCTTAATATGTTAAATAATCTGTAACAAATCCAATTTTCAGGTTGTACCTTTTCCTATGTTTGAGCTGCAGAGCAAGTGGATCGCGGGTGTTTTGTCAGGTCGGATCCCACTGCCTTCAAAGGAAGATATGCTAATGGAAATCAAAACCTTATACGCAACACTTGAAGCCCAAGGGATTGCAAAGCGATATACTCACCAAATGGGCATTACTCAAGTATGAATTCTCTTATGTTTCCACTCAGAAAACCAAATCTAAACGGAAACCAAACAGAAACACATTTAACAACGTTTTTGTTTTTTGGCAGTTTGAGTACAATCATTGGTTGGCTTCACAATGCGGATGCTCAGAAACAGAGGAATGGAGGAAAGAGATGTATTTAACGACTGGTGTGAGGAAGAGAGCCCATCCAGAGACTTATAGAGACGAATGGGACGATCATCACTTAGTGTCTCAAGCTTATCAAGATTTCTCTTTGTACGCATAAACAAAACAAAGTAAATTTCATGTTAATGTCAATACTACCATTTGTTGGAAAAGACTTCATTCTTATCACAGTGTACAAACACACAAGATTTTGATTATGATTTTTCAGAGAGAAGAAAAGATGGGCACACCGGGCAATGTAGCTCCAGAATCGACAATGTAAGTATTCCCAGTGACATATTGAGAAGAATCATGAATGAGATAACGCACGAGAGATGTAAGCCCTGGATCCACGGTCTGTTGCATCTTTAACGGTACAGTTCGTTCGGTAACTTTCTTGAGCCATTCTTTCTGCATAAGACCTTGAGTAATATCTGACCTGAAAAGCCCCGGTGCGATCGAGTTCACTCTGATCTTATAAACACCTAACTCAATAGCCATCATCCTCGTCATGGTGTCAACACCGCCTTTGGAACAAGCATACGCAAGACAACCTGGCCGTAAACCACGGTGAAGCCCAGAGATCGACGAGATGTTTATCACCGAACCACCACGTTTAGCGTCACGCATCAAAACACCGACGAATTTAGATACTAACCAAGATCCAGTTAAGTTGGTTCTAAAGACTTTATCCCATTCTTCTTCTGACAAATCCAAACTCGACTTGACATTGCCTCTGATTCCAGCATTGTTAATCAAAACATCTATCTTTCCAAAGATTTCCCAAGCTTCTTTAACCACTTTTCGAATAGTGTCTGCGTCTGATGAAACATCTAACTCAAGAGCTGCGGCTTGAATTCCAGTTAAACCAAAGCTGTTGATTTCAAAACAGAGAGAATCGAGACGATCAACACGACGAGCCGCTGCAATAATCTTACAACCAGCTTTGCCAAGATCAATACAGATCTCTCTCCCTATACCAGACGAAGCTCCTGTCACAAGAACCACTTTACCATTAAGCTCACACCATGGCTCCAATTGCCTCAACACCTGCTTGATCAAGATAGCACAAATCAAACTATACATAAAGATCACTATCATCAAGAAAGTGAAAGGGCAAAAGGAATCTCACAGTTTGATGATTGCTCATATTGATTGCTGTTTCACTGTGTCTGTGTCGGTGGAGAAGAAGAGATACAATGACACAAGTTTGATAATAACAACCTTCACTTCTCTCTAAACCAAACCAACCATTCAACGTGGCAATCTACGTCTCTATAAACAGATCCGTGTAAGTTTCTAACACACCAACTTAATTATTTTCAGAACACTATACCAGAGTTAGATTTTTTTTTTTTAAATGGAACCTGCATTATCACCAATCAGATCACACCACGTGGCAGTTATCGGTGCTGGACCCGCCGGTCTAGTGGCGGCGCGAGAGCTTCGACGGGAAGGTCACTCGGTGGTCGTTTTCGAGAAGCAAAAACAAGTTGGAGGAACCTGGATCTACACCGATGAAGTCGAATCGGATCCGTTAAGTGTTGACCCGACCCGATCCGTTGTTCATTCAAGCGTCTATAGATCTCTCCGAATCAACGGTACCCGAGAGTGTACCGGATACAGAGACTACCCGTTCGTGGTTCGTTCCGGTGTATCGGAATCTAGAGATCCGAGGAGGTATCCGAGTCACGGTGAAGTTTTGGCGTATTTGAAAGATTTCGCTAGAGAGTTTGGGATTGAGGAGATGGTTAGGTTTGAGACGGAGGTTGTGAAGGTTCCTCCGGCGGCGGAAGGAGAAATCGGGAAATGGAGAGTTGAATCAACGGAGAAGGAGAAGAGAGTTCGTCGGGATGAGATATATGATGCTGTTGTTGTTTGTAATGGACATTATGTTGAACCTCGTCTCGCTGAAATTCCTGGTAATATATAAGTAAACTTGATTTCAATTATTATTTTGAAGTATTAAATAAAGGAAAATATTTATATTTTATGTTAAACATATTCTTTTTTTTTTTATATTAATCCTCAAATTTTTGTGAAATTTTGTTAGATATTGAGAATTTTTTTTGTTTTTTAGTTGATATTTTTTAATTCAAATTGAAAATTCTTATACATTAAATTAAATTTGAATGGTCAAATTATATTATTTACAAAAAAGTTGTTTAATATTAAACAATGAAAAAACAACATTTTCGTTTTAGATGATTAATAATTTCAAATGATAAAATTATATGTTTTGGTTAAAATGATTGAGTAAAAAAATCTTTGAAGAAATAAAAAAGAGGAATTCAGTATTGGAATTTCATGAAACTTAAGACTGAATGAGAAGTGTGACTGTGATTTTTTCTTTGGAACTTTTAGGTATAAGTTCTTGGCCAGGGAAAGAGATGCATAGCCATAATTACTGTATTCCGGAACCGTTCAAAGATCAGGTACTTTTCATTGATCATAATGTTTAATTCCTTAACGATCTTAATCATAATTGATGTGAAGATTGTTCTGGTATCGATTAGGTTGTTGTGCTTATTGGAAACTCTTCAAGCGCTGAGGATATAAGTAGGGACATTGCTACATTTGCCAAAGAGGTTCATGTGGCTTGTAGGTCAAATCCAGCTGATACGTTTATCAAACAGACCGGTTACAATAATCTATGGACGCATTCATCGGTGGGTTAACGTTAGCTCCTAAGAGTAATACTTAACGTAATTTGATGATTAGGAGGAAAAACAATTTTATGTTTTCTTGAATCTCATGCAGATTGAGTGTGTCCATGAGGATGGTTCGGTGGTTTTTCAGAACGGGAAGACGATTTCGGTTGATATTATTATGCATTGCACTGGGTATGCATTCTTTCTTTAATTTAATTTCTGTTTTCTTTCTTATGGTGTGGTTATTTAACAAAGGTATTTATTTTCCGTAGGTATAAGTATCACTTTCCGTTTCTTGATACGAATGGAATTGTCAGTGTAGATGATAACCGTGTCGGACCATTGTACAAAGACGTCTTCCCTCCAGCATTTGCACCTTGGCTTTCTTTCATCGGGATACCATGGCAGGTACACACCTCTAAATTGCTCTTAAAACTTTTTCACATTTTCCCCTCAACGTTTTAATCCATAACAAATCGGATTTCAGGTGTTACCTTTCCCTATGTTTGAGCTGCAAAGCAAGTGGATCGCGGGTGTTTTGTCGGGTCGGATACCGCTTCCTTCCAAGGAAGATATGATAATGGAAATCAAAACCTTTTACTCCACACTTGAATTCCAAGGGATTCCAAAGCGATATACTCATCGTATGGGCAATACTCAGGTTAAAACATCCCAAGTTTCCGCAGATAAAAAAATAAATAAACCAAAGCTGAACAGAAACACATCAATGACAATTTTGTTGTTCGCAGTTTGAGTACGATAATTGGTTGGCTTCGCAATGCGGGTGCTCAGAAACAGAGGAATGGAGGAAAGAGATGTGTTTGGCGAATGTTGTGAGGAAGGAAGCCCATCCAGAGACATACAGAGACGAATGGGAAGATCATCACTTAATTTCTCAAGCTTATCAAGATTTCTCTACGTAGTCATAAACAAAACCGAAGAAGTTAATGCCAATACTGCCATTCAATGTAAAAAGACTTCATTCTTATTAGAGAGAAGAAAAAATGGGCACACCAGGCAGTGTAGCTCCAGAATCGAAAATGTATATATTCCCGGTGACATATTGTGAAGAGTCATGAACAAAAAAACGAACTAGAAATGTAAGCCCCGGATCCACGATCTATTTCATCTCCAGAATCTACAATGGTCCGCTTCTCGCAGTGCTGTTTTCATAGTCGCCAGCCATACTATGCTCTCACAGCGAAGATCACAAAACAAAACTTAAGAACGGATTTTGAAGTTCGCAATCAAGAAAACAATAGAAGTAACACATGAAACTTGACTCGATATTGATAAGACTTGCCGAGCTAGTATAACGTATAACACAAGGCTAAGCCCAATACAACCCACTAATAATAGCCCATTGATTTGAGATAGTTCTTTTGTTATTAAGGTTTGGAGAAGAAAGATGTTTTTTTTTTAATGAATGTAAAATTATATTCATTAAAAAAAACTGTTTGTACAATGAATGCAAAGTTGAGAGTTGAGAGTTTGATTAGAAAGATTGATTATCGTTAAGTCTTAAGTAATCTTTATAGGAACAGTGAAACATAAGCTTTCGTTATCCTGCACAAAAAAAGGGGCTTTAGTGATAAGTGTGATTGTAATTGTCATCTTGTTTCGTGAATTTCAATAGCTTAGGCATGTTAAGTGTTTAATCTCGAGATTTAGATACAATTCGGTATTAGAATTTCACAGGAACAGTGAATTTTATCCTCAAGTCTTCTTCGGTCAACAAACCACAATTTTGTTTACCAAAAAACCGAAAATAACTAACAAATTTTTTTTTTTAAGAAAACAAATTTTCCAAGTTGACCAATAGAAAAAAACTATGCAAATTGCTAAATATTTCAAAGTCTTTGGACTCACTCGATCGAGCACTATCTGTATTTCTTGTGGACTAAAAAGAACGTCTACAATTATTCGCTGCATCCTCTCTACTTAGCAGGGTGCTTCAAGATCTTAAGTGTTTTTTTTTTTGTAAATGGGGAATTGTGTTTCCCTCTCAATACCTTTGGATCAATCGGTGAATAAAGTCTCTCAATGGCTAGAAGAGAAAAGAGGTTATACTCACAATCTCAAAAAGAATCTTGTGGCTTTGGAGACAACCATGGAAGAGCTCAAGGCTAAGCGGGATGATTTGGAAAGAAAGCTCACAAGAGAAGAGGATAGAGGTCTACAAAGGCTTTCCGAATTCCAGGTATGGCTTAATAGAGTTGCGAAAGTGGAAGATAAATTCAACACCCTTGTTAGTGATAAAGATGTTGAAATTAAAAGGCTGTGCCTTTGTGGGTTTTGTTCTAAGAGTTTACTATCGAGCTATCGTTACGGGAAAAATGTTTTCTTGACGTTGGGTGAGGTTGAGAAACTCAAAAGTAAAGATATTAAAGAGATTGTTGCCAAACCTCTAACACCTGAGTTGGAGGAAAGACGACTTCAACCGATAATTGTTGGTCAAGAAGCAATGCTCGAGAAAGCGTGGAAACATCTCATGGAAGATGGAGTTAGTATTATGGGTATGTATGGTATGGGCGGTGTAGGGAAGACAACGCTTTTCTCACAGATCCACAATAAGTTCAGTAACGACCGACGTGGATTTGACTTTGTGATTTGGGTTGTGGTGTCTAAAGAGTTACATGTGGAGAAGATTCAAGATGAAATCGCTCAGAAAGTTGGTCTTGGTGGAGAGCAGTGGAACCAAAAAGATAAAAATCAGAAGGCTGATCGTTTATTCAATTTCTTAAAGAAAAAAAGATTTGTCTTGTTTTTAGATGACATATGGGAGAAGGTGGAATTAACTGAGATCGGAGTTCCGGATCCAAGATCACAAAAAGGATGTAAATTGTCATTTACAACTCGTTCTCAGGAAGTATGTGCGCGCATGGGGGTTAAAGACCCAATGGAAGTCAAATGCTTGACGGAAAACGTCGCATTTGATTTGTTCCAAGAAAAGGTTGGACAGATAACACTTGATTGTGATCCAGGAATCCCCGACCTTGCAAGAACAATTGCAAGAAAATGTTGTGGCCTACCACTGGCCCTCAACGTCATAGGTGAGACCATGTCTTGCAAGAAGACAATACAAGAATGGCGTCACGCTGTAGAAGTTTTCAATTCATACGCTGCAGAGTTTTCTGGCATGGACGATAAGATCCTTCCGCTTTTGAAGTATAGCTACGATAGTCTTAAGGGGGAGAATATCAAATCGTGTTTGCTGTATTGCGCTTTATTTCCAGAAGATACTAGTATTCTGAAAGAAGAATTGATAGAGTACTGGATATGCGAGGAAATTATAGATGGAAGTGAAGGTATAGAAAGGGCTGAGGACAAGGGTTATGAGATTATCGGTAGTCTTGTTCGCTCATCATTGTTGATGGAGGGGGTTAATAGGTTTGGACAAAGTTTTGTCACTATGCATGATGTTGTTCGTGAAATGGCTTTATGGATTGCTTCTGAACTGGGAAAACAAAAAGAGGCCTTCATTGTGCGTGCAGGTGTTGGCTTACCTGAAATTCCAAAGGTTAAGAATTGGAATGCTGTGAGAAAGATGTCGTTGATGGAGAACAAGATTCGTCATCTCATTGGCAGTTTTGAATGTATGGAACTCACAACTTTGCTCCTGGGAAGTGGATTAATAGAAATGATCTCGAGTGAATTCTTCAATTACATGCCAAAGCTAGCTGTCCTGGATCTATCACATAATGAAAGGCTCTATGAATTGCCAGAAGGAATATCAAATCTAGTTTCCTTGCAATATCTCAACTTGAGATTAACTGGTACACGCCGTTTGCCAAAGAAGGGTCTGCGAAAGTTGAAAAAACTAATTCACTTGGATTTGGAGTATACATCGAATCTTCAGAGTATTGCTGGGATATCAAGTCTGTATAATTTGAAAGTTTTGAAATTACGTAATAATTCTTGGTTTCTATGGGATCTCGACACAGTGAAGGAGTTGGAAAGTTTGGAACATTTAGAAATTTTAACCGCAACTATCAATCCAGGTCTGGAGCCATTTTTGAGCTCTCATAGGTTGATGAGTTGTTCACGATTTCTTACGATCTCTGGAAAATATTTATCATCACCGATAAATATTCATCATCACAGATGTCGGGAATCATTTGGAATATCACTTTCAGGAACTATGGACAAGCTTAGCCAATTCAGAATTGAAGACTGCGGAATCTCTGAGATAAAGATGGGAAGGATATGCAGCTTCTTGAGCCTTGTCGAAGTGTTTATAAAAGATTGTGAAGCCCTGAGGGAATTGACGTTTCTGATGTTTGCTCCAAATCTTAGAAAACTTTATGTTTCAGGGGCAAACGAACTAGAAGATATAATAAACAAAGAGAAAGCTTGCGAGGTACAAATTTCAGGGATTGTTCCTTTTCAAAAGCTGAAAGAACTTATTTTATTTCAGCTAGGGTGGCTGAAGAATATCTATTGGAGTCCTCTACCCTTTCCATGTCTACAGACTGTCAAAGTAAAAAGATGTCAAAATCTGAGAAAGCTTCCACTCAATTCCAAAAGTGGCAAGCAGGGTGATAATGGACTCGTCATAACATACGATGAGACGAGATGGATTGAAGGTGTGGAATGGGAGGACGAAGCTACGAAAATCCGATTCTTATCTTCATGCCGACAGGTCTAACATTTCTCCTCTTTCCTTATTTCATTTTCAAGAATTCTAACTGCTTCCATCTCTAATGCCTCTTGTCTCTTTTTGTGTGTGTTAATTTTTCTTATAGGACAATTTAATACCCTTACCAAGTTACCACGGTTATATATACTAAGGGAGCAAGTTCGAAGTTGATAATATTGTCATTTTGGTTTAATTTGTTCCAAAGGGAAACTTTCTATCCCTCTGCTGCTTTCCGCTGAATTCTCTCTCTCTCTCTTTATCTCCCTCATCTTTCAAACTCTGTATTGCTTTCTGTTTTTCCTTTATTTTTATGCCTTTCACATGAAACATACTTGCTATTAATAAATGGTTGTAACTTTATTGGGATGTGGATCAGAAATTCGGAGTCTTGTGATTTCTAATGGTGATCTTGCAAGTCTTGAAACAATTAGAAATTATTTGTATTGGAAAGATATTACAGGTTTGGTTCAGTTTTTAAGTTCTCACAAGCTTATATATGTGCTGTACACGAGATTTAGAGATCAGCGGTCTTCAACTACAATAATCTGGAATATCATTTTTCACAACTATGAACAAACTCCAGTTTCTAGACTTCCTTGGCTGCACTATCTCTGAGATTAAGATCTATATGACGTGCATTCAAAGCAACACAAGCTATCTGTTGCGCAATCCGATAAATCCATGCTTCTTGAGTCTGTCTGATGTGTATGTGGTACAAGGTTGTAAATGCCTTCGGGAGTTGACAGGCTGATGTTTGCTCCAAATCTTACATCTGTTGATATCGAATGTTCCTTCCGACCAACTAGAAGATATAATAAGCAAAGACAAGGCTAGTAGTGTAAGTGAAGGATCAGGGATTGTTCCTTTTCGAAAGCTGAAATTCTTACGCTTGTCTAGTGTACCGGAGTTGATAAACATATGTTGGACTCCTCTGCCTTTTCCCTGCCTGAAGACAATCGTTGCAATCAGATGTCGAAAGCTGAAAAGCCTTCCGTTCAATTCTACAAGTGGCTGGGAAGGTGAAAAAGGACTTGTCATAAGATACCGCGAGAAAGAATGGATTGAAGGTGTGGAATGGGATCAGGACGAAGCTACTAGAACCCGTTTCTTACGTTCATGTGTACAGGTTTAATTTAGCATATGCTCTCATGTATTCCAAGTTATGAAGTTTTTCAGTTTCATTACTCATTTTCTTTCTTTAATTGGTTTGATTCTAGTGGGATTGTGTCTACTCTGTTCTTAATCATGGTCTCATGGTCTTCTCACTATCCGGAAGTTTTAGTGTTTTTAGTTTCTTTAATAGGTTTGATTCTAGTCGGCTTGAGTTCGTTGGCTCACAAGGTTGCAAATTTGCAGTTCTTACTTTGTTGTGTACATTATAATTGCAATTAAGACAGATTTGTGTTTCGAATGTGGCATAAACGTTTACTACTAATCTAACATCAAAAGCCTCTTTGCGTCTCTGTCTCATCCACCAAACTATGAAGGTTCTGTTTATTAAGAAAACGGTGCACAACCACCTACATATGTAAGTAACATTTGCCTCTTCCTTCACGTTTGCTTTTTTAGGCAATAAATTTTGTTCTTTTGAATTTAGTCACTTTAATAAAAATTTTGAAAGTGGATTTGGTTAATCTCTTATTCTTCTTCAAGTTGTTTACCAAACTCCTACTAATATATGACCGGTACACTCAACCACCTGTTGTTTTCTGTCCCAATTATTCATATTAAGTTACTAACCCATGTTAAAAAACAAACAAATCAAAACCCATGAAATTTTAAAAATTTAATCTATTAAATTGTGTTTTCAAAATGATTAGTTGGTGCTAAGGATGGGTAAATGGTAATTCGTATGAGAATTCTCCCATTTGAAACAAGATTTTATATAAAAAACTATAGTGAAACTAGATAAATTGTGTTTACTAAAGGATCAATTCTACATGATCCCTTAGTTTCGCGTCTATTTCACCCGGAAGACGTTCTAGCCAAAAAACACGAAAGTGTTTCCCACCACCAATTAGAAAGTTAATGTGCGATTATTATTAGAACAAATATGCATGATGAATGTCATCGTAGTCCTGACTCATCATGCATATATTTGCTCTAACAAACCGTCATAAGGGTTAATTATACTAAGCTTACGAGCCACTAGCTCTTGCGAATGGTCAAAAAACGGTTGTCTCGCTTAAAAGTTCGATAATCCGGTATTTACCCAAGAAAAAAAAAACTCTATAAATTAAATAAGAAGAGATCAAATTCCAACTATCCTCAATTATATGATTTTGATGTTTCCATTTACCACATGAAATTGGATGCAAGTATATTTATCTATAATTAATTAATTTTGTGAATATTTTGTTAAAAAAAAAAAACACTAATCAGGAATCAGTGAACAAACGGTAGCATTGGAATCTCCTCAAAATTGAGCTGTCACACTCACCTCCCCTGTCTCCTCTTCGCTTCGGTACTTCCGAAGATTTGATTTTTTTTAGTCACTCTTCTTCTCTCTCACACACACACAACAACGCAATAAACAAAAAAGAAGCTAAATTTCGAATTTTTGTCTACCGAGTTTTCATTCATTTGGTGATTCAATTACTCTAATTTCGAGCTGAGAGAGACAGACATAGAGATCCTTCGATTCGTTGTATCCAAAACATTTAACTTTTGTTTTTCTTCTGTTCCTCTTATCAAATCAATGGCGAATGCATCTGGGTTCTTCACTCATCCTTCAATTCCTAACTTACGAAGCAGAATCCATGTTCCGATTAGAGTTTCTGGATCTGGGTTTTGCGTTTCGAGTCGATTCTCCAAATGGGTTTTGTGCTCTAGCGTCAGCTCTATCGATAAGCATGCTTCGTCGTCTCCTTCTGAATATCAACGACCCAGGTGAATTAAAAAGATCACATTTTTATGTTCTCTTTAGTAATCCATTGATTTGAGATCGTTCTTTGCTCTTAAGATAAAGATTCTGAGATCAGGAAGATTGATTCTTGTTAAGTCTTAGGCTAAAACTCTTAGCTTAAGATCTTAAATTGCTTAGCTTTAAGATGATCACAAGTTTGCTTTTGAAGACGGTCTCTGATTCATGATTCTTTTTGGTTCTATCTACTTAAAGGCTAGTGCCGAGTGGCTGCAAATTGATTGGATGTGGTTCAGCAGTTCCAAGTCTTCTGATTTCTAATGATGATCTCGCTAAAATAGTCGATACTAATGATGAATGGATAGCTACTCGTACTGGTATTCGCAACCGTCGAGTTGTCTCAGGTAACATATAACATTTGATCTGTTACGCTATGATAAGTTAAGAGTATTATTCAGTGATGTGTAGAGAGACATTAATTTGTAAAACTACATATTGAAGGCAAAGATAGCTTGGTTGGGTTAGCAGTAGAAGCAGCAACCAAAGCCCTTGAAATGGCTGAGGTTGTTCCTGAAGATATTGACTTAGTCTTGATGTGCACTTCCACTCCTGATGATCTATTCGGTGCTGCTCCACAGGTATTTTTATTGACCCTTTATTCTATAATTTCACTTTGATGGAGTAAGAGTTCCCGTTGTTTGATTCGCAATATTTCTCTATTGATGGCAGATTCAAAAGGCACTTGGTTGCACGAAGAACCCATTGGCTTACGATATCACAGCTGCTTGTAGTGGATTTGTTTTGGGTCTAGTTTCAGCTGCTTGTCATATAAGGGGTAAAAGTCAACAAATAAGATGCAAAATCGATGAGTAATGAATAAGATAAGTGTATAATTCTTGTCCCTTTCTGTTTTTTTTCAGGAGGCGGTTTTAAGAATGTTTTAGTGATCGGAGCTGATTCTTTGTCTCGGTTTGTTGACTGGACGGATAGAGGGACTTGCATTCTATTTGGGGACGCTGCTGGTGCTGTGGTTGTTCAGGTACCGTGCTTAATGAAGCTTTGAACAATTTAGAGCGCTCATTATATCCAAAGTTCTTACATAATGTTCATTGAATTACTGAAACAGAGTATAACCTTTAGTAAATTACCACAAGTAACACAATCATAAGATGAGTGCTTGCCACAGTGCATATCAAACCTTGGCTTAAAAGATCAATCTTTGTTTCTTAAAGAGATGTCCTTTCATTTCGTGCAGGCTTGTGATATTGAAGATGATGGTTTGTTCAGTTTCGATGTGCACAGCGATGGGGACGGTCGAAGGTATTTAGATTCACATTCCATTTTTTGGCCTCTTAAGATCCATCTTCTTATTCTTTTCCCTCAAGAACCCACAGTAAGATTCTATGTTTTTTCAGACATTTGAATGCTTCTATTAAAGAATCCCAAATCGATGGTGAATCGAGCTCCAATGGCTCGGTGTTTGGAGACTTTCCACCAAAACAATCTTCATATTCTTGTATTCAGATGAATGGGAAAGAGGTCTTTCGCTTTGCTGTAAAATGTGTTCCTCAATCTATTGAGTCTGCTTTACAAAAAGCCGGTCTTCCTGCTTCTGCCATCGATTGGCTCCTCCTCCATCAGGTTATCTTCTTATCATTAATTTAAGTTTCTTCTATAGTAGGATATCAATTCAAGCTTAAATGGGGGTCAGTTTAGAGCTTTCGTATCAGAAACCTGGTAAAAGATGGTATAATAAACGCATGTCGATTAGTATATACTTATGATGTATTCAATTTCCATCGAATATGGGTATGAGATTTGAGCTAAAATGGCGACATTTTAGAGCTTTCGTACCAAAAACCTTGTAAAAAATGGTAAAAAAGCAAATGTTGTTAAGTATACTTATCATTTATTCAGTGTCATTGATATGGACCTGAAATTCGAGTTGAAATGGCGAAAGTTTCAAACTTGTATACTGGAAAATGGTTAAACGTATAGTTTTTGAAATATATTTGCAGGCGAACCAGAGAATAATAGACTCTGTGGCTACAAGGCTGCATTTCCCACCGGAGCGAGTCATATCGAATTTGGCTAATTACGGAAACACGAGCGCTGCTTCCATCCCTCTGGCTCTTGATGAGGCAGTTAGAAGCGGAAAAGTTAAACCAGGACATACCATAGCAACATCCGGTTTTGGAGCCGGTTTAACGTGGGGATCAGCAATTGTCCGATGGAGATGAATGGCTAAGTCCAACATGTAAGTTAACTTCAGAGCCAAAGTTTTTTTTCTCCCCCGACGAACACTGGAAATTAGTTTAACCGGTCTTGTTTAGTCCGGTTAAACTAGAGGTAAAGCGCATTTTGTCTGAATTCGGTCTCTCTCTTTTTGAAGGTTTCATTGTTGTTACGTGTTAGTTATTTCGAATGCTAATAATGAAAAAGAAGGAAAAGAAAAAGTAGCATTCTTTATCATTTCTTGTTTGTAATGTTAAGACAACATTTCTCCATTTGCTTAATCTTGTTTTCTTCTGTTTTTGAGAACTATTAGGATCAGAATGGTTTGATTTTTCTGCTCAATAATCTCTATATACGAGTTAGAGTTTGTCAAAAGTCTGTCATAAGGCTACACAATTTAACTAAGAAAATGTATGTCTAGCTTCACTAACAAAAGTCTAATCTAATATATAGTAACAAAAAAAAAATGTTGTAAGCTACATGAAACATTTATAACCAATCCAAACTCAGTTATAGGGTATAATTTTTGGGGTATTTTAGCAGACCTAAACAATAACAGTTAATATCAAATTTATGATGTGTTAACTATTCCAAATTTGGGTATTGATGGATATTTTGATTGTTGGGCGAATATAGATATCTAAACCTCAGTCCTCAGAGATGTAGATTTTGATAGTTAACTTCCTTCTTTTTTTACGAACATGATGTGTTATGCAGGTTTGAAGGGAAAAGGGGATTTTCATACTCGTACTATCTGCACCGTGGATTTTCATACCTGGACAAATTTGTAGGGTATTTTACAACCTGAACTTCAATAAAATTTGAATCTCATACCTATACTTGATATAACGGGCAAAAATCGAAGTCAATTTAACGGGTGTTAGTCAACTCCGTTACGGTGCTGAGTCATCGTACACGTGTACGCTGACGTGTATCAAAACGACGTCGTTTTCATACCCGTACTGTCTGCGCCGTGGATTTTCATACCTGAACAATTTTGTAGGATATTTTCAACCTAAACTTTAATAAAATTTGAATCTCATACCCTATACTTGATACAACGTGCAAAAATCGGAGTCAATCTAACGGCTGTTAGTCAACTCCGTTACGGTGCGTATCGAAACGACGTCGTTTTGATATGTGTTCTCAAAGTTTTAAATTTTTTTGCAAAATTGGAGACTCGAACCCGCGAGCCGGAGTCACATGAGAAGCACCGAATACCAACTGATCCCACAACGTTCATTGAACCCGCGAGCCGTAGTCAATCGTTTTAAATTGGGAGGAAATTATGAATACTAGGGTTTCGAATTGAGATATCGTTTTCTCATTTCTTCCTCTTCTTCTCAGAAATTAGGCATGAACAAAATTTTAACATGTGAGTACGGCTCGCGGGGTCGAGTCCCCAGTTTTGCAAAAAAAATTAAAACTTTGAGAACACATATCAAAACGACGTCGTTTCGTTACGTACAGGAACGGAGTTGACTAACACGTGTTAGATTGACTCCGATTTTTGCACGTTGTATCTAGTATAGGGTATGAGATTTCAATTTTTTTGCCGTATATGTTGTCCAATACCCTACAAAATTGTTCAGGTATGAAAATCCA